AGAGCCCGTTCCTGACGTGGCCTTCGCTCGCACCAGGCAGGAGTGCAGCAGTTTGGAGCTAACRTTTTGGTTGCAGCAGCACAGGTGGGCACTGCCAGCAGAAGGGCTTTTCTCCCAAACCCTGCTGGCCAAAAGACCGTGCTTTGCAGGGAAGGTACTGATGGGTTTGTCCTGGGGGCTTCCTCTGGAGAACAGAATTAGTTCTTCATTTCAGCTTGTCCTGGTCATTCTTCTCYTCTGGCCTTTCAGAGACCTCAGTCTTTTCCCCTTATAAATGATGTGCTCTAACTAAAGCAACCCAGTGCAACAGTTGTCCTGGACAGAGCAACTAATTCCCACCCTTCTTCATGGATTCCTCTTCAGGGATTTTTGCCGCTTCCAACTCACAGCATTGAATTTATCATCCTGCCATTGCTGTTCTTAGCAGGAATGCAGCATTTCCTGGCTCTTCCTCTCCAGGGCAAACATCAGCTAAGCTGCCATCCCAGGAGYTTGCCAACTGGGTTAACTGCAGGCACTGTTTTTTCCTCCCTGGCTTGCAGGCTCCACCAGACTCTCCATTTGTGTGTGCTCCTTCTTTGTTCCCAGTCAGGGATGCTTCATTCTGGGACCTGACCTTGCCTTCTGTTTCCCTGTCCAGCAAAAGATTTCATGTGCTATATTTGGATAGCAGAAAGAACCATCCACTYTGCCCTTAGTAGTTTTAGAAAGGCAATGAAATTTGCATGTGGACGACTGTGGTGAAGAAGTTAAGATATGAACTGCCCCTTTTGCAAGGTACAAGAGGCAGCTATAATATTTCTAGTACAAGGATGAAGCCTTGCAGACAAGTTGAAGAAGGAAGCAAGCAGAGCTGGCAGAGGTTTTGATGGACCTCAACGAAGAAGCATCTTTGGGATGTGCAGCCACCAAAAAGCACAGACAGGGGGGTGTACTGACCTCCTCCAGGCTAGRGGCAAGTTGCAAACAGTATCTGTGTCTTTTTTTGTGAGATTTTATGTACAATTACTGCATATGTTTTACTCTGCATGTGGCACGGTGCAAGGATTTTTTCATGTTTCATACATATTTTTCCCCATACTGGCTGTGGGGAGGGAAATCTTGATATTCTGAATTAATTACAAATCTACAGATATATTGATTTTCAGGATAAAGCAGAACTTGAACACGAACGAGGCTCAAAAGCATGAATGGAGGGCACACGTAAAAAAAGGAATGAATGCATCAGATTAATTTGTGTTCTTTTAAAAATAGTGAGTGTACGTAATGCTGTGCAAAGCTAAAATCTATTTTTAAATGTTTATATAAAAAGCCTCTATAAAAGAACGCCAGGGTATGTTCTCAAGGTCTCCAGTTTGTCTACGTGGGTTGGTCAAAAAAGCTGCGGCATGTTGAGAACGGCATTCGCACGTTTGTTTTTAGTAAAAATCACATCCAACAGCATGGATTTAAAAGAGGAGAAACTGGAAAACACCCACAGGTCACAAGGCAATCTCTGACCATGATCTCTAGGAGGTGCCTATGCCTTGGCCCCCATTGAGCACCTGAATCTGTGAGCTTGGAACTGCCTCCCTCTTGCTGTCATTCCTTTCCTCAGGTCCTCTCACAGGATGTGGGCAGCTCCACGTCGCATCCTCTCTGGAATCATTTTCCATCTCCTCCAAYGGAAACTAAACCCATGTTCACTTAGGCAGCTCTGTCCGTGGTTGCTACAAAGATTCAGGAGGAAGAAAAAGTGGAGAGAAAGGACAATTAATTGTAGCCTCTGTGGCATCAAAACAACATCTTGTGGTGAGTGTTGGGACACCTTTTCCCTGGTATTGTCCTGTTTTAAGGGTTGGTAGCAAAAGCCTTTTCCCCAGGCTGCCCTRTTGCACAGGATCCTGGGCTCACGGTAGGAATGAGGTGGGTGGAGATGACTGTGGCATTTACTTTTGGGGAAGGTTAAAGAATGGCTGGGCATCTGCCAGGCTTCCAGCTCAGGTAGAGGTGTGACAAAAGTGGGGATTGTGCAGAGAGAAGGGAAGAAATCCTAGCAGTGAGGTACAGAGGACAGCACCTGGGGGCATTGGCTCCAGTTGTCCTTGTCCTGGAGGATGCCACCATGGCGTGTTCCCAGAGCAACGGCTGCATTCAGAAAGGCAGCAGGAAAACWAGGAAAAGATGCTGCCCTGCTGCTGCCTGGGGTGGTCCTTCAGAGCTCAGTAAGGAAGTGGAAGAGTCCTGTGAGCCTGAGGAGTCCTGCCAAGAGAGCTGCACCACGGCCCTGCCAGCTCCCTCCCAAAACCGAGCCTGGCCTCTGGCTCTCCTTCTCTCTTCTGGTGTTTTGGGTTTTTTTCTCTCCTTTTTAAATGCTTGTGGATCAGCATTCCACAAAACACCTACTTCCACAGTAGCATGCAGAAAGATGYATAGCCTAAGTGCCTTAAAATACATCTTTCTTTAGTATTTATATATTGTGATTTGACACCACCTTATATCAGTGCAGAGCTATATCCTAGTGAACCTATATAAAATATACGAGCAAATAATGCTTGTAGCTCTCTCTACACATTTATATACATACATGTATATATACATACATGTATATACATTTGCCATAATAAAGCATTGCTGAAACCATCACCTTTTAAGACCATGAGACACCAACATTCAGGCTGAGGAGAAGCAGCCCTTGGCAAGCAGAGACAGGTGTGACAGGAGTTAATACTGTGTCAGAGAGGCATGAACTGCGTGCATGAAAGCTGGAGCACTGGCTGTGAAAACCCCATGTATAGGGAAAGGAACACTATGCTAACACAGGAAGGATGGAGGAGGAAAAAGCCCAGAATGGGGTAAATCAGCAAAATACTATTGTATTAGGCCCCATACTGTTGCGTGATGGTGTGTATCAGACTGCTAACCACAGAGGGTTTCAAACTGTTTAGGTTTCTGCGGGCAGTCATGTCAATCCTGTCCCGAGATGCACAGATCCCAATTCCAATCCACCACTGCATCTGCCTTGAGTATCCTTTCAAAGAGCATCGGCTGTGAAGTGCCAGGTGCAGCCTCAGACACAGAGCCAATCTCTGCGGATCCRTGTTTTTGTCACCATTGGCCTGGATCCATAAAATCCCGTGAGAAGATCTCAGTCACTTGCAGCGTTAGGGCACATCCCATCGCTTGCTCAGATGTGCTGAGGTGTCACGGTGGGGCACAAATAGAGCACTTCAATGAGCATGGGCACGATGCTGGGGCAGCCACACACCAGCATTTCACTGGTGAGACGAGGTCTGAGGGACTCAACACCCAACGAGGAGCAAGGGCAGCTGAGCGGGATGTGGTCAGTGTTGGCTGCCATGGCAGGGAATGTCCGTGGGAAGAGAACAAGCAGGACAGCTGCTCTAATGACAGCAACTGTACCTATTTCACCACAGCCTTGTGAATGAGTCCGGTGCTTTTCATTTGCTCCTTTCTAGCCTTTTCTTGCACTTTCTAGTAGTTTTTCCTTGGCTGCTTCCCTCTTGGCTACACCTGCATCTTCCTTTTTCACACCAYGTTGCTCATGACATTTATGCTTGGCCTTAAATTGGAACCCTGATTCTGATCAGTCGTGATACCAAGTGAAGATAATAATGCCCTTTTTGTTTCTAAATTCGGATTACTCTTGGTGGAGGCACAAAAACTAAAATGCCTCAGTCACAACTGTATGGAGCTTTGAGCTTTGATTTACATATTTGTATATAATGTCATTACAGATGAATTCATTTCGATGAATTGCACTCACCAAAATATTTTGGTAGCTTTGACTTGTACATGATAAGTAGCTTCTTGCATCTGGTCTACCTTACTGCAGAATGTCAGTGTCAGTGGGGCTTTTGAGTTGTTTTTAAATAAAAAAATAAAAAATAAATTAGAAACACAGTAAAAAAAAATATGCTTGCAATAATTTTAAGATGTTTCCATTTAAAGTTTGCTTTTATTTTTCATTTTAGCTTTTATTGTTACTTTCCTTCATATTCTCTGGCTCGCTTACCTTATACARGAACAACACAAGGTGGATGGAGTACAGGGGAGATGAAATACAACTAAAACCACTTCAGTTTGTCCGTGCTATGGAAAGCATCCAGCAACAGCGCCGTGCTGCCTCTCCACCCATTCCTCGCTTAAGCTCTGCCTCTTTCTGCTAACCTGTCCCTGTGCATGGAAATATCCCCTTCGGGGTGATAAGACGGCTTTCAGACAGTGAAAAACTTRAAGAATTACTTAAGAGCGAATGGCAATTTTTCCTTATTATCCATATCCTTATTACAAAGGGGGCCCGTATTGTTGTTTCACAGTGGGTTCTGTTTCCTAACAGTCTCCCTGGAAGCATCCAAAGGGCAGAGGGATGATTTGGACAATAGCAGGACCCCCGCTGCGGCCAGGGCCTGCGGCACAAAGGGATAAAAGACAAAGCAGCCAGAGGGAAGGTCACGGTCCCCTGTCCCGCAAGGAGATTCTCTGCCCTACTGAAAGCAGGGAAATTCAGCCCCGATCCAACGCCTTCCAAGAGACCCTCTTCATGGGAAATCCCCTTCCAGCCAGGGCTGCGCCACAACGGGAGCTGCGTTAGTGACATAACCCTGCAAAGCGACGTCTCCAGTGCGGCAGCCAAGGTCAGCCCTCCTTCCCCCAACCCACCGCTGGGGAAAGGGCTACTTTTTCACTGGGCAGGCTATTTTTTTAATTTCTTTTTTTTTTTAAGCGCTGTCAGTTTATTGTGGAAGATATCACTGCCAACGGGAATGGCGGGGGCATTTTGGAGCCTGGTTTGACAGGGACTCTGGCGGCGGCGGGAAGGGCCCGGCCGCCGYGCGGCCGTTACGGCGGCCGTTGGAGCGGCCGTTAGAGGCGCCGCGCGCCCCGCCCCCGCCTTATGTAACGGCCCGTTGCCGCCATTGGGCGCCGGGGCCCGTTGGCGCCGGCTCGCGGGGCGGAGCGGGGCCTGCGCAGTGCGGCCGCCTCCTTCCCCCCTCCTTCCTCCTCCTCCTCGTCGTCTCGGGCAGGCGGCGGCGGCTGCTGCGGGGCCGCGCGGAGCCTTCCCACCCGCTCGCCAGGGCCGCGCGCCGAGGCCGGGTGAGCGGCG